ATTATTACTGTCTTAAATTTAAAGTTAGAGGAACTGGACCGAGTACTCGCGGTTGTCTCGAGGTTAGTGGAGATTTACAGTTTTTTGGATGAGAAAAGGGAAGAAGGAGGTTTGAAATGTGGTTTACGATACAACTATTTAATTAATTCTAAAGAATGAAATTATTTATTTTCATCTGGAAAACAAACATTGAAAAAAAAACCCACACGTACAAAATACAAACTAAACACAAGGTTAATCAAACTTACAATCTAAGGTTAATATCCTTAAAATAAACATAAATGAGTTTCATAAACTCCAGATCGCGTCTAGCCAAAATATCCCGAACTGGAACATTAGGTTGTCTACCTCGAGCCCGAAGGGAATCATAAAAATGTGATCTGACTCCACGATACTCCGCACAAGACCAAAGGATATGATCAGCGTCCTGGTAACCTTGTCCACATTCACAGAGATTGCTGTCTCCCAACCCCACACGGCACAAGTGAGCGTTTAGACAATAGTGATTGGACATGAGACGAGACATCACGCGTATGAAGTCTCGACTCAAGTCCAACCCTTTGAACCATGCAAACTTCGACACCTTAGGGATAATTGAATGTAGCCATCGTCCCAAGCTCCCTTCACTCCATTGATGTTGCCAGCTAACGAGCGACTGCTGACGATAAATAGAGAAAAATTCACTATAGGCGATTTGTCGATCATAAATGTCGCCTTCCATAGCGCCCACCTTCGCAAGTGAATCCGCCTTCTCATTGCCCAAAATTGAGCAATGCGAAGGGACCCACGCGAAGGTGATGATGAAAGAACGCACGGATAAAGCACTAAGCAGTTCTCGTATTTTCAAGAGAACCGGCCTAATGGAACGGATAGCCTCGACAGAACTGAGACTATGGATGTAAGATTCGCTTACAATTATGTGGGATTCATCATCAGAGGATGTAAGTGGAGACCGCATGAACCGAGGATGCGATATACCTAGCTGCGGTCCAATGCAAGAAAATTGGAGACCGAAAAATGAAGATAGTATTAGTGAGGTAAATTAATTATGTCGAAAAAAATAGGAAAAAGGTTGCCGACTGGACTCGAACAACGAACGTTGCGATTATCAGACCTGTGCTTTTTCCACTGCTCTCTCCATGCTTCTGAATAAGGATAGCCTGAAAGCGAACAAGAAGCGCTCATTTCCTCTCACACTCGACTTCGTATGGTTTTTCTGCTGGAGAGATTCGAGGCAAGTGTGTGCGTCGTTCTACGATGTTATACATAAAAATCAAGGCAAATGCTTGCTTGTGCAGGTGAAAGCACAGACAGAACACGAAATAAAAAAGGCAAAAAACCATTACATCTTCTGCAAGGTCAACTTCTAACATTCGCTGCGATGTTCATGAACAGAGGATGATAGGAAATGGAACTAACATTCATTGTAATAAATTTTTGGTTTGCGTGTATATCACTTTCGATGGTATCGAGATTTGCCGATATCAATCGTACCAATCTGGGGTCGAATCGTTGTAACTGTAAATAAAAATAACTACAACAACAATAACAATCGAATGTAAACATTCAGTGGTGCCAGAATTGATTAAAAAATTTGCTTATCATGGGGCGGAAGGGTGTTTGAAGTGTGTCGACGTGTGTTTACTTGGGTGTTAGCACAATGTGGCAGAGTGACTTACTCCCTGATACACCTCGTCAAGAGAAGCAAAGAGATAAGGATGATGATGATGTTAGTGACTCTTATGAGGATGGTATAAATGACGCATTTCGCGCAAAATCAAATACGGAGCTGGCATTGTAGCACACTTTATTTCACTCTACCCTAATAAACGGGTACCATGCACTGACGATATCATATATGGTACGACGATACAACATACAGTCATGATGATATCCCGAATTGGTGGTTAGGCGCTTCTTATGGTTATTGTTTATGCGGGTAACGTGTTCAGTCTTTAAGCATGCCGTCGAAACAAGAAGAACTGCATGCGAGCATTGTACAATTCGTTCAAGCAAACGAAGACCATTTTAATAGGGCAACTGTGCCGGTATCCACCGTATACCGTTTCCTGGCATCCATGGCAGTAACCCGGAACAGCGGTAGCGGCCGTTCAACAAAGATAATGAATAAGAAGTCAAAGTCACACATCTGCTAGACTCTAAGGATGGAGGGATAGAAATATAACCAGATCCCCAGAGTACACTGACGAGCAAATCCTAATCGTGAAGTACGGCGGAGAGCCAAAATATACCATATGTGCCAAAAGACCGGAATCCGACAAATCTGCTGCAGCGCCGTCCTATCGAGGATTTTTTCGGTCTATTGAGCTCCATGGTATACAGGTATAATTGAAAGACCAAGGACACCAAGCCACTCGCTAGCAGGATCAACATCCAGAAAATCGACGTGGCAGCCGTCCTACAGTTCCAGGTCACGTTCCAATATCATTACTAAGATGCCCAAGCAACCAAAAGTTCCGCATTCAACGATTAAACTCACTTTCAAGTTCCATATAGTTCAAATAAAGTTTCGACAGATCCTTCAAGTTCCATAAAGTTCGAATAAAGTTCTGACAGAACTTTCAAGTTCCATAAAGGTCAAATAAATGGCTGAAAGTCACTCTAATAATAAAAAAAAAATTCGACAGAACTTTTAAGCTCCATAACGTTCAAATAAAGTTCCGACAGAACTTTCTTTCCAAGCAACCAAAAGTTCCGCATTCCACCATAAAACCCACTTTCGAGTTCTATCAAGTGCACATAAAGCTCCAACAGAAATTTCTGACTACTTTAGAAGCTATAGAAGGCACACAAGGAACTTCAGGCTCCAAAAAGTTCCGATGCGAACTCTTAGCAACTTGAAGTTCAAAATAGATTCCAAACAGCATCCCCAAGCACTTCTTAAGAACCTCAGACAAGGCTGAAAACATGGCCGTAACAAACTTCCGGACAAGCTCCCAGCGGAACTTCTTAGCAACTATAAAGTTAACTGCGGAACTTCTTAGTTACTTGAAAGTACCTAAAAAGCTCCGTAAAAGCCCACATGAAACATATGCGCACAAGTCTTAATAAGTAACAAAATTTCATTTACGTAAATATGAAATGATCAGTGGTTCATGGTTCATACCTGGCTAATTTTCACAAAGACCTGACTTTAGAATTAACTTCCATAAAAGTGCGAACTAAATATAAAATTGGTGTAGAGGACAGAAACCCCTTTTTTAACTTATTTTCCAAAAGTGCCGTCCAAGTTCCGCCAGAAGCTGATTTGAATGCTCTTCAATTATGGTACCAGAACTTTCAAGTTCTTATAACGACTTAAAAATTAGGCTGCTTAGAATTCTATAGACCACCTTCAACCAAGCTGCTTAAGCCTCAAATAGCCTTTTATCAGAACATTTGGTTACTTGAGTGCGCCGCACGGTGAACCACGAACCGTATGCCAATATTCACTAAGCTCAGTTTGAAGACTTAAGTTAACCCTTTGTATGAAATAAACCAGTTTCAATTTTTAGTGGACAACCGTTAGTATTTGGCCCTATTTGATCAATATTTTCCACGAATCCGATGCAGATGAGTAGAAAAGGATGTCTTCCGATAGATTTACCAGTAAATCCATAGAGGTAACTCTAAGACCAGAAGGTCACGAAGAAACGTGCTCAACTTTTTGGCTCAGCTCTGGTACTCTCTTCGGTCCCAAGCTAATCGATGCATCCCTCGAAACATAAGAAAATCCACGAACCCCTCATTTTATCAGTCAAACTTTCATAGCGAATCAAAACAAACATAGTGTAGTACTAGAATTCTGACTAGATTGGGATACGTTGATCGTTTGCTTGGGCTTGTCAAGTAGTGAGCCAATTTCAAATCGATAGTTTCGTATTGATTGTTGATAAATCGCTCCAATTTTCACGTAAAGTTGAATTAATCCGTAAGTAGTCCGGGAAAGAGTTCATAAAAGGAAAATTTACCTTATATAATGATCAACGCTTTAAATGGACTCGTTGTAAATTTTTCGATATTATGATTCAAGATTTTTTTTAGTCTTAAACAATATAAAAATAGCATATAGGGGAGCGGTGGTGTAGTGGTAAGCGTGATTACCTCTCACCCGAGCAGGCCTGCGTACAATCCCAGTCGGCGCCGCCGGGATGTTCTGAGGCATAGCATCTATGATCATGCCTCACGGAAGTAAAGCCGTTGGTCCCCGTTTCATGAGTTGATGCCTCCCTGTCATCGGTAGCATTGGTGCTCAGCACGGAAAATAAAATCAAGGAAAAAAAGCATATAGGGGAAATGGATGTAATGTCGGCCTAAATTCCCCTAAAATGGGCCCATACATAAATTCAGCAATCGGCCGTCTCAATCCCAATTGTAAGTTTTATCGTGGTTTTATAGCATTCTACAAGTCTAAGTAATGGTATTCAGAATCCTCATAAAGCCCAAATTGTTACATGGGAATGAGGCGTTCATCTAGATAAAATTGATAAATAACATATTTTTAGCGATGTGCCCAATCTTAGATCCATAAGCCAACATTAGATCCATTTCACCTACATTGATTTTTAAACAATTATTATCAACCTAAGCGACGTATTCAACCCTGATTGTGGAAAGTTTACCCAGCATAAGCATGAGCTTTCCTCGTCCTAGCATTTATCACAGTGAGAAACATGAAATCATACAAACATACCGCATCACTCAGCAGCATAAAAAGAGAGAATGCCACCCATCGCCGATGGACAGACAGACGGGAATATCCAGAAGAGAGTGAGAACCAAGCTCAGCGAACTGAACAGGCAGCAACAGCTACCCAACACCAAAACCCACCAACAGCAGCATAGACAACGGGCGGCGTCGGCAGCGAGCGGTTTAGTTTATGTTTGAACGTTGTTTACTGTGGAACACACATTCGATTCCTACTCGCTTCTTCCTGATACCAACTAAGTGTATGTTTTCTGTGTGTGACTGACTGGTGATCTGCCTCTGCCAGTAGTAGAAGAAACGGCAGCATTGCTGTTGGAAAGGGGTTCTTTCGATTATAATTTTCGGGACGAGCGTCGCTTCCTTTTTCGGAATTGCGGTGGCAAAAACGGAGGAATAGGCATCTTTAAGGATTCTTTTTTCGTCGAACGTGAGCAGTGAGACAAGAAAGCGATAAATGTACGACAGTGTGGAGAAGTGGAAGAAAAGGATCTGAATTTATGGTGCAGATAGATAGGAAGGGTGTGTGCGTGTGAAAAATTCACTTTCTCAACAGTTTCCTTTCGGATTTGTTGAAAGGATTTGCCTAGGAGTGGAAATCGAAATTGGGAATATTGTTTTACGCTTTTCATCCAACCATTGCAAAGTGATAAGCCGATAAGTGCTTCGGAGTGCTTGTGATTCAGATAATACAATTTTTCGCGGAATTTTATTTTATACACCAGTGAACGAGTCCTGAACAAAATAGTGCGTAGTACCAGTCACCATCTGGGAGCAGTTTTTCGCTCCATTTGTTCACACGGATACTTCAGCTTTAAGGATTACCCAACATTAGAACCGATTTTTCCGGCCGGTAAGTACAGAACAAAGAAAAGGAATTTCCCCCAACCCGTTGCTATGGGCCATTGTTAAGGAAAATGGTCACACTGGGGAAAATAGTGTGAGAATGAGTCCTCCAATGGCTCCTAAAAGTGGCACCGTTTGTGGAGCAGTTGGTATGGTCACAGTGCGCAAAAGGTGCGCGCGGGGTACGATTCTCTGTTTGTTTCCATGAGATTACAACTAAACAATATTATGTAGGTATCGAGTTTCCAACAAGTCCCGCCACTCCCGGCAGAGGAGCGAGCGAGCGAAAATGAGATCGAGAGAGCGAAGAAGCGGAAAAAAAAGTGCATTTATCGATCGATCAGAGTGCCAATAATTTCCTATTTTAATATTACCCTCACGTTTTCCCCCCGACTGCCGTCGTTGTCGTCATCGTCGTTGTTGTAGCCGACGTTTGGCCCCGATAGCCGGCCCCGCTTTTCGGTTTCGGCGCAATGTGTTTGTGGGAAAATTTCCACCTCAGTCGGAGCCGGCTGGCTAGGCACATGAAAACGAGCGGGAAATCAGCACCCAAACAGTCATTTGTTTCGCGTGTTGTACGAATCAGCACCGAACATTGCTGGCTCTCCCTCAATCTGTATCGCTTGCACGAAACATGCACTATTCCAAAATTACTTCGTCTTCTATTGAATTCTATTAATAACAGCGCTTATAAATCAAACAGTTCGTATTTTACTGCCCCATCATTGGTCATAACCAATCGCTGCCGGCCGGAAAAACCTCTTGCCGGGATAGCACAATACTTAGTTTGAATATATTTAATGAGATTTGGACTGCGCGCTTAATCGTTTTTCATTTGGTTAAGAACTTGAAGCTGCCGATGGAAAAACCGACAACTGGAATCAGAGGAATGAGCCGCTAGTGTTTGATGGTTTCGGTAGAAGAGCAAAGTACGTTAACCCTTGTTGATTTGAATGCTTATTGATGTCTATACTGAATTCAATAGATTGGTATAAATATCATGAACCTACCTGTACCAGTTTGAAAGATGTTTAACCATGACAAAGAAATAGTAAAAGTGTGGATCACAAAAGCAAAAATGGGAAAATATTTCTCTGGGGCGAGCACCACTGGAACAAACTACCGTAAAGACTCGAAATCCGGACACTTTTAAAAGTTGATTATCATTGCCTACCATGCTCAAATAGCACGTAAATTTTAGCATAGCCTTTCAGGATCGTTTTGAATCTTCACACGTATTTACTATGCTGCAAAGTAGACGCAATATATAATAATAAATTAAATGTCTAGATTAATGAGCTATCCAGTATTCAGTGTATTACGGTAGCTATAATTTGTTGCTAACGAGTTCAATGCAAGTAACTAGATTCTGAACTGACAACGACGAGAAGCTAAAAGAAATTAAAAAAAAAACATTCTCTATAGAGTTCAAGCCCGATGAAAGAGTAAAACCATAGAGGTAACTCTGAGACTAGAAGGTGCCGAAGAAATGTACTCAACTTTTTGGCTCAGCTCTGGTACTCTCTTCGGTCCCAAGCTAATCGATGCACCCCTCGAAACTAAAGAGACTGAATTTGTTAATTTGGTAAAACGATGAAGATTGAGAATCCGTGGGTAAGTCATATTTGAATCAGTTTTTCAATCACTGGATTAATTGAATGCTATCTACATAACGCTCACTTAGCTGATGGAAACGACACAAGATTTTTCCGAGGGAGACGTCACCTAAATCTCAGCCATTAGATTCTCTAAACAATTCAATCTTCTTTCCATCTACTCTCTACGAATCAATCTTCTTTCCAAGGTACTGCAGAGTCGATCGATTTTATTTTGCAAGCCAACGGAAACAGCTTGCAATTGTTTTTCAAGTTTAAAACTGTTTTGTCCTTTCTCAGTTGATTCCCGCCAACCGCTACTACCCAGGACTGCTCGAGCCCCCATGACTCTATCAAAGTTTGTTTACATATATGTTTCGCCAAAGTATGTTTTACTGCATTTGAAAACTCAGCTGTGTCATACAAATTATGCTGCTGTTCATACTTACATCACTGTTGGTTTTTTGCCATTAAGCTTCAAATTAAGAATGGGTTATGAAAACGTATCGATATATTTTATGAGATTACAATGCTTGACGATCGATAAAAACAGTAACTGTATTTGTTGCTTCTAAATGATTGGCTCCCGTTTGACAGTTCACACTTGCTTCCAAGTGACAAGCACATTGAGTGAGTCCTTCAGCTTTTTTCAATGATAGCAAAACAAAAGCCTCGCAGTATCACAGATAGAGTCGTCCTTTTCATATTTTCATTCATATTAATATTCCATATGCCGTCCTCTTCTAATTACTAGCGATTATCAATAGAATTCAAAAAGCGATCTCTCCATAATTCTCTATACTCGTCAGAGTTTCCCTGGTTGAGCCTTCAGAATAAGTTTGGATTTCCTGAAAAATGCCTTTCCAATAACAAGGATTTAATTGGAATTCTTCTTCTTCTTATTCGCATATCAAGCTTATTGTTTTGTGCATATTAGCTTATTGCGTGCTCTCAACTTAGTGTTCTAAATGCACTTCCACAGTTATTAATTGAGAGCTTACGATGCCAATACCAATGCATGAAATTGTCTATTGTGTGGCAAGCACAATGATACTCTTTGCCCAGGGAAGTCGAGAAAATTTCCAACACGAAAGATTTCCTCGACCGGACCGGGAATCGAACCCGCCGCCTCCGGCTTGGTAATACCTCGCCTTTACTGACTAGGCTATGAGGCCCAGGAATTATGCTCATACAATTTATGGAATTCTCCTCAGTATTGACTATTATGTTATCGAAATTCACTAGAAAATCTTTTCAAAATTCTCATGAAAGTTCTTTAAAATTTTATTTTAATTTTCTCCTTAGAATTCCCATCGAATATTTTCTTGAAAATCTCCTAATAAATTTCCTTGAAAACCCCCTTATCGTTCATATCGTATTATCTTTAGTGTAAGATCCCCTTGCCATTCTCATCAAAATTGCCTTGGAGCACACCATAGAACTTAAAATGGCATATCCAATCTCCGTAAAATTCCCTTTGAATTTTTCTCACTCCAATTCCTGCATTTTGCAAAAAAAATCTCATCAGCATTATCTTTAAAATTCTTCCAAATGTCAGAATCCTGGAAAAAAAATCCAAGTGCAAAAGCTTAAACAATTTAGTTAGTTAGTTAGTTAGTTATCTTTATTAAGGAGACTTTCAGCCGATTGAACAATTTATCAATCTTTTTTTCAGAACCTTAAATTCCTCTTATATTCCTTAATTTTATTTGATGTTCATAGAACTTCTTTAAAGCTATCTGAATCCTCAAAGTTCCCAATGAACTTCTCTGAATTTCTAAAAGAACTTCCCGGAATGTTCCCAAACAACATCTTTGAAGACCCCAAAGAACATCTCTGAAGTGCCTAAAAGAACTTCTGTGAAGTTCCCAATGAACTCTGAAACTCTTCTGAACTTCTCTGAACATAATTTTAAGCTCTCTGAATTTCCTCAAAATTTATCTAATCGCCAAGCATTCGGTTTTTTTTTCGGATCATTTGCTGGTCAAACAACATTTATAAAAAAAATATGCTCTTCTACTGATTCCAAATTTCTTTTTTTTTTTCTAAAGTTCCCAAAGAACTTTTCTGAAGTTTCAAAATAACTTCTCTGAAGTTACCAAAGATCTTTTCTGAAATTTCCAGTGAACTTGTCTGAAATTCCTAACAAACATCTCCAAAGTTCCCAATGAACCTCTCTGAAGTTCCCAAAGAACATCTCTGAAGTTCCCAATTAACTTCTCCGATATTCCCAATGAACTTCTCTGAAACTCTTCTGAACTTATCTGAAGATCATTTCAAGCTCTCTAAATTTCCTCTAAAGCTATCTAATCATGTCGCTGGCCAAAAAAAAATTAAAAAGATTTCGCTATACCCTTTTTGTTTCCATATTCTCCTTTATTAAATTCTCTAAAGTTCCCAAAGAACTTCTCTGAAGTTCCCAAAGAACATCTCTGAAGTTCCCAAAGAACATCTCTGAAGTTTCCAAAGCACTTCTCAGAATTCCCCAAAAAACTTATCTGAAATTCCCAAAAGAACTCCTCTGAACTTCCTAAAGAACATCTCTGAAGTTCCCAAATAACTTCTCTCAAGTTCCACAAAAACTTCTCTGAAGTTCCCAAAGAACTTCTCTAAACTTCCCAATGATCATCTCTGAAGTTTTCAAAAGAACTTCTCTGAAGTTTCCAAAGAACTTCTCTGAAGATCTCAATGAACTTTTCTTAAATTCCCAGTGCTCTGAAATTCCCAGTGAACTTCTCCAATGTTTCCAATGAACTTCTCCGATGTTCCCAATGATCTTCTCTGAAGATAAAAACTTCCAAGTGAACATCTCTGAATTTCCCAAATGAATTTCTCTAAAATTCCCAACTAAATTTATCTGAAAATCCCAATGAACTTCTCTGAAATTCTCAATGAACTTCTCTGAACTTCCCAATAAACCTCTCTAAAGTTCTCAATGAACTTCTTTGAAGTTCCCAAAGAACATCTCTGAAGTTTCCAAAGCACTTCTCAAAATTTCCCAAAGAACTTCTCTGAAATTCCAAATAGAACTAATCTGAACTTCCCAAAGAACATCTCTGAAGTTCCCCAATAACTTCTCTCAAGTTCCCAAAAAAAACTTCTCTAAAGTTCCCAAAGAACTTCTCTGAACTTCCTAAAGAACATCTCTGAAGTTCCCAATAAACTTCTCTGAGGTTCCCAAATAACTTCTCTCAAGTTCCACAAAAACTTCTCTGAAGTTCCCAAAGAACTTCTCTGAACTTCCCAATGATCATCTCTGAAGTTTTCAAAAGAACTTCTCTGAAGTTTCCAAAGAACTTCTCTGAAGATCCCAATGAAGTTTTCTTAAATTCCCAGTGAAATTCTCTGAAATTCCCAGTGTACTTCTCCAATGTTTCCAATGAACTTCTCCGATGTTCCCAATGATCTTCTT